TATATATATATAATATATATTATATATATACGTGTGTGTGTGTGTGTGTGTGTTATATATATATATATATATATATATATATATTTATATATATAATATATATGTGTGTGTGTGTGTGTGTGTGTGTGTGTGTGTGTGTGAGTGTGTAAATACAAACATAAAGCAACCAACACATTAAAACACAACAGCACATAACAGAGCCCCCATCAACACTCCCACATACAACACCAACAACATACACACCCTTCCACACACAACACAATACACCACACACAACACACACCCTCACACACGTACACACAACACCCTCCACGCGTACCAACACACACCCCCTCCCCACACACGTAACACACAACACAACCCCCTTTCCTACACACACACACACACACCCAATCTACCCCTTCACCCCTCCCCCCATCCCACCCCTCTCCCACCCCCGCACACGCATTCCCAACCAAAGCAAACAGAACGTGGGCAGAAGAGCAGAAAGCGAGGGACCTTAGCGAGTCCAGGAGGGTCTGAAGATGAATAGAAGGACAGCGAAGGAAAGGCTAATTTGCATACGAAGAGACAATGAGAACGGTTCTCGAGAGTATACTGGCAGAGGGAGAAGGAGAGAGGGAGGAGAGGGGAAGGAGGTGGGGAGGGAGAAAGAAGGAGAATAGAGAGAGGGAGGGAGAAGAGGGAAAGGGAGAGGAAGAAGGAGAAGATGGAAAAGGATGAGAGAGAGAGGGGGGGTGGAAATAGAAAGAGAAAGAAAAAGAGTAGTACAAAAAGAACCTTTTTTCTCTCTTTTCTCTATCTATCTATCTATCTACCTACATATACACGCATAAACACACACACACGCTCAAGCGATAGTAGAAGTTAGAGACAATAGATGCATATATTTCATGTAATATGTGTGTGTGTGTGTGTGTGTGTGTATGCTTTTGCGTATGCGCATGCGTGTGTGTGTGTGTGTGTGTGTGTGTGCGTATGTGCGTATTTGCGGTGCGTGTACGCGTGTGTGTGTGTGCATCTGCGTATTTGCGTGCGTGTACATGTGTGTGCATTTCCATACCACAATACACAGACAGAGATGACACTACGGCGTTAAAGGGAAGGAAAATACAGAAAGTGGTAGATAGAGAGGGAGAGAGATGGATGGATAAGGGGCGAAGACGTGAGAGGAGAATGACAAGAGTAGGGGATGGAAAGGAAGATGATAATAAGGAAGGAGAGAAGAAGTAGGAGGAGAGAAAGGAAGAAGAATCGGAAAATAAAAGGAGGAGGAGGGAAAAGACAACGACGACGAAGGAGAAGAAGAAGCAGAAGAAGAGGAGGAGGAGGAGGAAGACAAAGGAGAGAAGGAAGAGAAGAGAAAAGAAAATAAATGAAAATGCAAATAAATAATAATGAAATATATAATGAATAAGAAATAATAATGAAAAATAATAATAATAGTAATGATACTAATACTAAATAATAAAAATATAATGATAATGATAATAGTAATGATGATAATTAATAATAATGTAATAGCAATGAAACGTATTATATTAATAATAACGATAGTAATGATACTGACAAAAATAATTATAATTATTATCACTATTGTTATCATATTATTTGATAATTAAATAACATTAATGATAGTGATATTAGTTGTAATACCATTAATGAGATAATGTGATATAATAATAGTGATAAGGATAATAATAGTGATAATAATAATAATAATAATATATCATAATAATATAATACTGATGAAATTAGTAAAGAGAAATGTAAAGAGAAAAGGCGGGCGAGGAGGGGGAGAGATGTCAGCTGTGATTGTAAATGAGGATGGCAAAGGGAGGCGGGGGGAGGGGTGGGGTGGGGGGGCTGGAAGGGATTTAAATGCCCTCGCGGAAGTGATCTCCCGCTGCTCCTGTTTACACGACGCTTGGCCACACGTCACGTTGGTTGGTACGGGTCGTTGTCTCGTAGCTCAGTAGAGTGGAATAGATCTTATGGCGTGCGGGGGTTTATCTGTTTCATGCCCCGAAGATCGCTGTTCGGCGGTGAACGGAATTTTGCACAAACAGACTTTCTCAAATGCAAGCAGTGGGATGTCCTAGATCATGCTCGCGGATCCGATGGCGGTGGACGTGAGCACGCGCGCGCGACACGCACACGCCACACGCACACACGCACACGCACACACACACACACACACACACACACACACACACACGCACACACGCACACACACACACACACACACACACACACACACACATAAACATATACACCCATAAACACGACTGTGTGTCCGTGTATGCATTATTTCCTTCAGCAAATCACACATAGTGCAACGTATTGTCCGAAATACAAAGCTCCCAGCCCCCCCCCCCCCACTCTCCTGGGGGGGACCTCCAAGGTTGTGCCACGTGCCTGACGCTGCCCCCCCCCCCCCCTCGGCCGCCCGTCGGGTTAATACCCATTAGGATGCTTATCCATTCTCCTGGTTTAGATTTCCCTTAAGATCCGCATTTTCCAGATAATATATATATATATGTCTTTGACGATCCTTATCCTAAATCGACCGAGGGCAAGCATACATACGTGGGTATTTATGTGTGAAGATGGGCGGGTCGATAACGCTCTGTATATGGAAAGAAAATGGGGAAGAATGAGAGGAGAGAGAGAGAGAGAGAGAGAGAGAGAGAGGGGGGGAGAGGAGAGAGAGAGGGAGGGGGAGAGGAGAGAGGAGGGGGAGAGAGAGAGAGAGAGGGGAGAGAGAGAGAGAGAGAGAGAGAGAGAGAGAGAGAGAGAGAGAGAGAGAGAGAGAGAGAGAGAGAGAGAGAGAGAGAGAGAGAGAGAGAGAGAGAGAGAGGTGAGACGTGGATAACAGAGAGAAACCGAATGGGTATGACAGGTATCTTACCCTTAACCCCCCCCCACCCGCCCGCCCGTGAAGAAAGTCAGGAGGTAATGAGAGGTTGAAGGTATGAGTATGAGTATGAATGAGGCGACTATGACCATGAGGAAGACTATGAAGTATGAGACTATGAGCCATGAGGCGACTATGAAGCCATGAAGGCGACCATGAGTATAAGGCGATATGAGGTGGTCTTAGGGCGGGGCTGGTAAGGAGGTTCAGCAGGGCAGGAAGGGGTTAGTGAGTGTAGGGGTAGCATGGGTATGGGAACAGGGGGGGGTAGGGTAAAGGAGGAGAGGTATGGATACTTGTCTATGGAGAATTTTAACGGTATTGGGGGTTCTGTGTGGTTGGGGGGAGGGGAGGGGCATCTAGGGGAGGACGTGGCGATGTTGTGATAATTATTCCGTCTTTAACCTGTCTTTAGAGGTGGGGGTGGGGGGAGGGGTTGGGGTGGGGTGAGGGAGGGAGGTAGGAAGAGGGTCGACCGCAAGCTGGTTGTATACACCAGTTGCTTGCGTAACTGCTTAAAATGTATATTATCCCATATTTTGTTTACTTGTCATCATCATATCGTTTTATTTCCTTTTTTAGATTGACGCGGGCTTAATTTTTTATATAAAGTCGTTTTCACCTAAAAGAGATTAAGATTTATGTCTCCATTGTTTCCAAATGTAAATAGAACTTTCTGCTTGATGATATGTTAAGAGTTAAGGAAGTGAATGTACACAAGACGAAATTTGCTTTAAGAAAATGAGTTGGGAAAACAAATTTGTAAAAAGTGCCTGTTGAGAATATGCATACCACTAAATCAAAGTATAATTATCTTCTACTTTGTTGCAAATCGAAGCATCCAAGGAACAGATGTTACACATTGTGAGTTAAATAAAAACAATAAAAGTTTTATTTCAACATACGGCTTATAACCATTTTAACGTTTTTTGTTTTTTTTTCAGCATACTTTCAAAACGGATAATTCGTTCACATCCAAGACCACATGTAGTGTTTGTTTAGCGATATGTCAAGGAACGACACCGCCTTCTTAGAAAAAGAAAAAAAAGTATATACAACACTAAACATTGGTAGTTGTTCCTTGTCTATAACGTGCATTACCACTCTTTACCTTGAGTGTCTTGGGTATAGTGAAATTAGCGATTCATTCAGTTCTCATATTTCTTTTGTTGTTAGTCCGTTAATATTTGCTCTTCCTCTCCAGCCATGCGACAGGTCTTCATAGAGTACTGAATAAATTTTCCCATAGTACACCTACACGTTTCTTCCTTCACGTTTTTACTTGGATAAGTCTTTCCTACACTGGTATTGGATAGATCTCGGGACAGATAACACCTACACAGGATTTAAATTGTTTTATGCCAAGGTGATTTTGAGATTCCCAGAGTACGGGCCACAGAATAGTTTATAGGCCTACTTCTTCGTTTCATCATTTTCCTGTATAGGCTTATAACTATCTTTGTGGAATTGATAGAAAAAATACCATTGTCTTCTGCTATTTGACTATTCTCCGGGGTCAAAAAAAGAAAAGTTTATAGAGAATACGTAAAAACACACAGAGAAAGTTCATATGCTAATGATCTCTTTCAATAAACCGACTTACCACAATGATAAGCGATGATCACACAATAGAAAAAAAGGTTACGATGTCATTCCCTTTACAGTGTGTGGCGGAGAGTGTGTTGTGGTTGCCTGGATCTCACACCACAGGGGAATGCAGGACGTCTTCTACAGTGCGATATTGTTTTTGGGTTTCCTTTTTTTTTGGCGTATTCTATGGTTTCTTATCGACTGATATTACTCGTCTACATCCATTTACGCATTTCGAAATGTACGATGTGAAGTGGGTAAGAATTGAGGAATTAACATGGACCAGTCTAAACATGGTTATAAGTAGGCTAACAGGCGCGCACGGCACACACTCACACACACACATAAGCTTAGGAAACCCTATTCTGAAAGTGTCCCTCTGCTTGGTAGCACAGTAGCTTGTTTTTTAGAATATAAAATTGACCTGACCATTGATTAACAGTGCATTTATATCTCCTGAGTTCGCCCTGACCCCTGTCCCTCCCGCCCGCAGAGAGTGTGATGGGCGGCGCCGTGTGAGCCAGCGCAGGACCCTCCCAACACCATGCCCGATCCGCCCCCCCTCCTCAGCGTAAGCACCGGCGGCGTCGTGGTCCCCAGCCCCTTCATGCAGCCCCCGCCGCCGTACAACTCGTTCATGCAGCCGTCCTTCGGTCCC